CCTTCCATACTTCCCGAATCCGGGGTCGAGAATAGCGATTCCTATGAAAAATAGTTAACCTTCACATGTTCTTGAGTGATCAACCACAAGTTACACCTTGCCTGAACGTAGAATTTTTTGTTGTTTCCGAATCCGTGATAAAAAAAGTAGGGTACTCCAGGAAAAAACAAAGTTGACCTTCAAATGACCTTGGCGGGTCTCCCGGACCCCACGCATGATAGGTCATCTAAACGTAGAATTTTCCGCTCTTTCCGAATCCGGGGTCGAAAATAGGGGTTCCTATTTGAAAAAACAAAGTTGACCTTCAAATGACCTTGGCGGATCTCCCGGACCCCACGTATGGTAGGTCATCTAAACGTAGGATTTTCCGCTCTTATCGAATCCGGGGTCGAAAATAGGGGTTCCTATTTGAAAAAACAAAGTTGACCTTCAAATGACCTTGAAAATGACCCTCGAGGTCAAAGTCAAGGTCACCATAATATGTCCCCCTCGGAGACGAGTAACTTTTATTCGAAACATTTTTCGCTAGCTCTCATAGTTTTTGGGTTATCTTGGTGCGTAAGTTAAAATGGGACACCCTGTATACAAACTCTACAAACACGACTATTACAAATAATAAATAAAAACAAGTTTATAAATGAAAAAAATCCACTAAACATAGATCAAACATTCACCATGGAATCTCTAGTGTATCACTATGTCAACCTGCAAGATATGTTCCTGAAGAAAAATTCCGTAACAAGGAAAAAAACTATACAGCCCCTTAAAAGAAAATTAACAATCAGCATTAAAGATAGCTATACAAGAGCTTTAGCCACCTTCAATCAACTACCTTCTCACCTCAAAACTTTAAATGGCAATACAAAAACAATAAAGGACAAAATAAAAAAATGGATAAAAGGCCATCCATTCTAGATACAGAAATACAATGAACCACAAAATACATTGCAACAATTTACAACAAATATATTACAAACTAAAGCAACAAGGGAACTTTGATAATAGTCTACTTTCAGCATTGGAAGTCCATGTGGATGTGGATAGGGATAAGTTTCTCTTGGATGTAAGGACATATTTGTGTTCACAAGGCACTTGTACACTTCATTACAATCGTTCTCATCGTCGAATGTCTGAATATAACATGAAAAAAATTAATGTATCAGATAACTACAGAAAAATAATAGAAACAATTGCTAATGTGATTAACATAGCTTGGAACTCACAACGGATAACTATTGATACCAAAACAAAAAACGGACTCAAAGAGGGAAAAAGAAACGAAACTTACATTCAAACAAAAACAGATACAACCAACATAAATTTCATTAATAAATGTGAATATTGCACATACAAACAATTAATTGGTAAAAAACATATACATTTCATAAAAGAAGAAAACAAAGAAGATCACAAAGAACCAAATACAGATAAAGTAAGATATAAACCCATAGAAACAGTATTTAAACAAATAGATGACATTGCAGACAATAATAGTATGCAAATAGAAACAAGTAAACCAAAAAATACAACAGGAAAACCGATTCTACAAACAAATAATATTCGAATGACCTATGGAGACATCAATTATCTTGGAAACAATAAAGCATTATTATACTTTTATAGAGGTATCAGAGGATATCAAACTTTTACTAATTCATTGTACTCACTTGAACAACAACCTAAATATAAAGATTTGATAGTCTTAGATGACATAGTATTCACAGCAACATGTAAATGTGATTCACATAGACAACATACTGAAATGTTCCCTCACTATAGAGTCACGTGTGCTACAGGACTTACTTGTCCTGTTAGACTAAATACATACGAAAGAATATCATATGCAAGAAAAATGAAAGCATCAATGACGACAATCGTAACGGCCAGACAAATGTTAATCAGATATTGGAGATAGCAGAACAAAATCGAAGATAATTGGTGAAGTAAGCTTTTATAGGAAGCATTCTTGCTACCAATATTAAGCCATACTTCATATGTGAAATATTATAATCTATTACAAACCGACTCTTAGTTTTAAGTTTTTTGTTTATTTTTTTCTTAATTTTCTTTGTTTTTTTATTTTTTTCTTAATTTACTTTAAGTGTTTAGTAGTTTTAAAATACCAGACCAGCGAACAGGTTTATCCTCTGCCGGGTTACAAATTTGTAATGTAAAATTGTATAATTATTACTACTTGTTGTAATATTTTGTACTATACTCTGGTTAATAATAATAATAATACAGTATGAGAGAGTATTTTTAATCACTTTTTCAGAAAATATTAAAAAATTATATTAGAACAGAAAGTACAAGTAAGACATCATTGTTTTCAAAAATTAGAGTTGTTACAATCGATTTCAAAATTAACAATTATTGCTCAATGAATCGGATTATTTTTTCTTCATTCGGCATCATTTGAACATTAAAATGCGATATTGATTGTTTACCTACGTTTTTTGGTTCACGAGATATTTGGTTTTTGGTATACTTTTTCTAAAGATCCTATAACCAGACGCCTCATCCGGAATATTCTTTATGACTATCTCCTACTAGTTTCTATACAAGGTAGTGATTTTGACGAATGACACCGCCCTCTCTGTTGTTGCGATAAAAATTAAAACAATATAGTCGAGGAGAGTGAAGGAATCTTATGGGTAATATAGACCACATTCTGTTTTCTATGAATATAAATATTCTAGGTCACGAACATTTTCTATTATGTTCAGTAAGTACATCATACCATATTCCATAAGTTATTGGCCATTATTCATGCTTTTCATATTTTTCATGTGTCTTTAAGATTTTTCGGTTATTTGTCACTAATGTTTTTTTAATTAATATTCAGCATGTAATATATGTATAAACAATATCGCTAACTGTAACATATGTGTAACATATGAATGAACAAAAGAAACTCATATCATCTGTGGGAAAACGAAAACTGAATTGATAACTGTAACATTAAAAATTAAGAATACATTATAATATGCTGGTACTAGTAAGGAACCCTTGCGAGGTATTTGCCTCAGATTTTTATGTAACTGTAATATGTTGTAGAACATAAAAAAATAAGAGACACGTATTTTTTTATCAGCGGAGAAGCATTTTTAGGAGGAGGAAATAACCCTTAAAAATCACTCCTGAAAATTAACTTTCTTAATACCTCTAAAAAAATTGAATATTAATATAATATAAACGCCAAATATTTTGTTATACAATGGCAGTTCTGTGACCATTGTTTGTACCCTATAGGTTTGCAACCTCTAATTTTTTTAGTTAAAAAAATTTTACAATTTATTGAATACCAGCTTTTCATAAAAATTTGCATTTTTGTAAAGAAAATAGAAAACTTTAGTCCATATGTTTTGGGAATTTTATTGAAAATCGATTTATCGCGGTTACTCACACATATAATTACAAAATTTTAAAGTTCACAAAAAAAATTTCCCTCTGTGATTCACTATAAAATTTGAAGATAAACGAGGTTTATATATATTTTAAAGTATGAAAACAATAAAATAGCAGTCCTATGGTGATGATTTGTACCCTAAAGTGTTGAAATTTTTATAATAAAAAAAGTTTCTATTTTCGTTTATTAAATTTCTGTGATAACTCTTACTGGTAAGAGAATTGCAAAGTGATATTTTGAAAAAGAAAACAACATCTGTGGAAAACATCAGGTATTTTTATTCTTTGGAAATATGCTATTTCCGCTTATTTAATTTCTGTGCAACTTCTACTCGTTACCAGTCTACGACTAATTGAATGAGACATTTCGACAATGAAAATCAACATCAATCAGAAGGTCTAGCAGTAAGTATTTATGTTTCAATTGTGTTCATTATAAGTATTCTAATATTTGACAACAATGAGAATCAATCCAATGAATATAATTAATCTTCTACTAATAATATTCCGAGTTCTAAGTATACACTGCTGTTCACGTAATTTCACCCCCCCCCTCCTACTCTTGCCGCTGGACAAAATCAGTCAAATTTACAGTTTTTTATCTCGGGTATGATATAACTTACAGAGATATAACTTACTGCGGTAAGGTAGCAGCAGGAGAATTGCCGCAAAGAAGATGTTTGTAATTGCCTGTGGGGACAATCTTCTAAAAATTCACCGAGCGCTACTAAAGCGTGCGCCATTGTGTGGCGCAGCGGCAACGTTCCCGCAATTAGCGCTCATTTGCGCACATACGCAAGGCAAACCTGCAACCTGTACAGGGCGTAGCCCCTCTCAAATTACACCCCGTTACAAACTTTGTTTATCTTTAAATTGCGTAAATTCTCAACGAAGGAATATTTGTTTTATTAACTTTGAAATTTTATGAATATAAGGATAGGTAACTCCCATAAATCGATTTTTTGGTGAAATTCCTAAAACACCTCAACTAAAATTTTCCGTTTTACAAAAATGTATATTTTAATTTAATTTAAGCAATTTAGAAAAATTGGTACTCCGAAAATTGTTGCAAAGCAATATTTTCACTCACAAAAATTAGAGGTTGGAATCCTTTTGGATACAAATAACTGTTATAAAACTGCCATTTTATAACAAACAATTTGGCGTTGGAATCATATCAATATTTAATTTTTGTTTAATGATATGAGGAAAAGTTTTTTTCCAGGGTAATTTTTAAGAGATATTTTCACATCTTAAAAACGCTTCTCCGCCGGTAAAAAAGATACGTGTTTTTTATTTTTTATATTCTACAATATATTACAGGTATATAAAAATCAGTGGTGGACACTTTACAAAGGTTCCTTGTAAGTTAAATGAGAAGTACGAAAGTAAGTGGTTTATATTGACATAAGATGCAAGTTATTGAATATTTGTTTATAACCGGATTTTGTTCATGAATGCGGATTCTTACGAATAGGGTATCGAAAATCTATGTACCCTAACCTAATATTTTCTTAAGTTGAAATTAAAAAGTACATATATTTAATATGTGTATGTTTGTGTGTGTGTACATGTTTACATTGTAAGCATACCTCTACCACGTATGTAGGTATAATCTTCATTACTTTCAAAGCCACCATCAAAAATCCGAATACGTTTAGTTTTATCTTGTGTGTCACTTTCAAGACCACTATCTGGACTGGTAGGCGTAGTTGGTTGCTGAGAAGAATGTGTTATTATATCTTGATAGTAGCTACTGGCAAGAGTATAATTATAAGGCCGATTACGAGAATCATAGTACTGAAGTTCGAGTTCTGGCGACGTTTCTTTGCAAATTTTCCAATTAGAGTACATAGAAAGACCTTGTTGTTGAAGTACGTACATAGGTTGAGGTTTGTTAAGTGTACAATAAAACAGACGCGTTGAACACTTCAATCCTAAATAGGTGTATGCATGACCATTAAGAAAAAGTTGCCCGTATGATTTTTTTGGTCGCGGTGTTTCAGGACTTATAAGGACCAACGTATTAGTTGTAGGAGTGATTCCATGATGACGCTTGGGTGTAAAGGTGCCTGGTTTTAAAGGCAGCGTACTAGGTCGTACAAACTTGCTGACAGTGGTATCACGATTAATAACAGAATTTACATTGATAGCAAGTATTTGAGAAGTCGAAGAGTGTCCACTATTTGTTAAAGAAGGTGAATTAAACTCGTCTTTCTTAGTTGTTAATGAAAATAGATTTTGCGGGCCCGGTATACCTGGTACAAATGGTATTAAGCGTCCTGCATGTATAATATTTGTTGGTTTAAGATGGACAGTTTCAAGGTTAGAAGTGAACTTAGGAGCTTCGACACGCGGTATAATGCTTGCGAAATCTGTCATTTGGCCGATGTCTAATGAATCGAAAAGCGTTGATTGATGCTGTGTTTGTTTACGTAACATTGTCCCTCCTGATTGTAAACCTGATCGTACAACAACTGATGCGGTTTCGGGAATGAGAAAATTCAATTTGTTCATCGCAATTGGATTGTCAAATTGTTCGTCACTTGATTTCTGGTGTAGTCTAGTTTGAACGCGCATAGTTTTTGTCTCTCCGCTTGCTGCAATAATTCGAACTTCACCTCCAAACATTTGCAAAGCATTCATTCGTGACTGATACGTATATTTATTGGAAGAATCCATGTTTGACTCAAAGCGGGCGCGCTTCGGTTGATCAATGAGGTGAGTGCTACCAAGAAGAGGCCCTGGCGATGCAAGTGGTAAAGTTGTCTGAAGATTTTCATATTTGTTAATTGATTCTACATTCTCAGATATTGGTAACTCAGAACCTTCACTACGAGTTCTTTTACGAGATTCAGCGTCAATCTCAAAACTTTTTGAAGGCTCTCTATGATAACGTTGTAGCAATTTCTGCGATCGGTGATTGATAGTTCCAATCAGGCTTTTAGTTTTATCTGTGATAAAATCCATACTTTGCTGAATATGTTCACGACTGGTTTCCTCTAATTGATTTATAATATCAGTTTTACATTGTTGTAAAACTGTGTGAAATTTAGGTTTATAAATACGATTTGGTCTCATAGTTTGGGCACAAGGTGGAGGTGTATGAGTACTACTACTATTCGTACTCGAGCTATCCGAGAGGCTTACATCTGAATCATCTGATGGCTGAGGTGAATTTGAAACTTGTGTTTGATCGTAAGCTATCGGTGAATATAACACGGAAGATTCAGACTGCACCTGTTAATAAAAAACCAAATAAATTAAAGTTTCCAGTCACATCTAGTATAAGTTATTAATCGACAAACCTGAAGTTCAGAACTTTCTATTTTCAAAGCATGAGCTCGAGATCTGCAGTGTTTATAAAGATTTGAGTTGGTCTTAAAAGCAAATCCACAAGTCATGCAAGGATAAGGTCTCTCATTCGTATGTGCTCTGATATGCTTCTGCAAAACACTGGGCTTTGCACAAGACAATTTACAATAAGGACAACTATAAGTAGATTTGCGCAACACGTTAAGTGGCTTGAAACCAATGCTTGGATTAGATTCAATCTCATTTTCGGTTTCTGCGATGGATGTACATTGAGGTATAACAGTATCACGAAAGTTTTCATTTGCTTGCTCTATATCTGTGCTAGTGGCAATCTTTTTAAATTTTTTATGTAAATACCTTGCTTCTTCGAATTTGACATCATTAACAAACTCATTTTCAATGAAAATAACAACTTTATTGTTTTTACTATTATTGTTATTGTTATTGTTATTGTTGTTATTAATGATGATATTATCAACCTTCTGGTGTTCGTAAATACGAGTACTTTGAATTTCATTGTTGGCAAGTAAGTCGGTCATTGCCGCCGCATCAATTTCTGAAAAATATTAATCAGCGAATTAGAAGCTAATAATATAATTAAATTATTAGAATAAAAAATTAATTAATAAACCATCATAAACATAAAAAAATTAGCATCAAATTTATCATAAAATAAATTTAAGTGGTTAATGGAAATTAGAATCAAAACGATCAGCAATCACCAATCAATATTAATTATAGTGAAGGCACGATTATATGATCATGATTTTATAAGATTATTTCATAAGATTGTGTCCTAGTGACGGATATTTAGCTGTCCACTAACATACTCAGAATTTCTATCAATTTTCTTAGAAGTAACAACTTGAAACAAAAGCAGACGAAATAATTAGATACACGCTCGAAGTTGCTGTCTTAAATGTGTAAGGGGAAATTGGCTCTATGAGCTGACTCCTCCATTTACTGCTCTCAACTGTCGTTCCGTGTCTTTCGGTGAGAGAGAGAGAGAGAGAGAGAGAGAGAATGCATTGTTGCCCATTACCCTGTTGTCGATCGGAAGAGCTAAGTCCTTGCTCGGAGCTACATATGTGAGTTATTGTGATCTAGAGAGATATGATATGATCTGATCTTTATCACTATATTTAAAGTATATCAGCTTGTGTAATGTTTGAATCACTCTTTGTTGCAATATGACGGCAAAAACGTAAAAAATTTATAATAAACTAAGATAATTTTTTTTCTCTGAAACTCTTGAGTTTAACGGAAAAGTTCATGGAATAAAAATGTCTTAGAATTAGTCAATGAATACTCTAAATTTTTTTCAGAATTTTTAGAAATAATTTTCAATTTTTTGAAATTTTCTGAAAAATTCTTAAAAAGATCTTGAAAAGACAAGCAAGATGCTGTAAACCCAGTTAAAAAATATTAAAATGTCGCGAAGATATTTGAATGTTTGAATATGACCGAAAATCAAGCAACTTAACATGCAGACATCTTGAAAGGACATCTAGTAAACTATATTATTAGATTATGGACTGCACTATAGTTATAACTGTATTAAAGTACGAGAGTAGATGAACTGAATGACGCCTCGCACGTCAAAAAATATCGAAAACTCACCCTGTTAAAATTTTTGAAAATCAGTTTCACTGCCCCATAAGCATACATATTAAGATGGTTACCTCATCCGTGATCAATATATCGCAAAAATGAAGAAATCGTTTTAACTAAGATTAGAATGGAAATTATAATCAAACTGCATAGTTGCCTTCATCGCCGATTCTCATTTAGAAGCATAAGAGTCCCACGTGAGGTAAATGTTAGGAATATTAAATGTTTACTGAAATATGAGCACCAGGTCATCAACAGTATTCTTGATCAAATAATTCTTTATTTAATTTTGTATGTAACTTAATCTGAATACTTTAACAAAGGATGCGTGAACGATTTGACTCTTGCAGAATTTTCAATTATTTTAATGTACAATCAAATTGCTTTTTAGTAAAAACAAGTAAAACGATATAAATTTATTTAGTAGTAAATGATAACGTACAAGCAAACGAATCCATTTTTATAGTTAACTGTACAATGTGCTATCGATTGTTATATCATTAAATTTATTTGTAATGAATTTTATAATATATTACTTCGTTGGACAAGTATGCTGTATGGATTATAGACTCAATAGTGAGTATTTATCATAAAGTATAAAATATAGTTTATTTATTTACAACTTATATGTTTCATTTGGTTTTCATTTCTTACATTACAATTGTGTCTCGTGTCCAGTTTGTGTAATTGATAATGTATGTGTTTTGTGTGCGTATGTGTGTGTGTGTGAGTGTGTGTGTATTGCACAGGTGTGTCTGCAACTCTTGCGTCCGTCTTCTGCTTCTGTCTGTTCAGCTTTTCTTCCCATTTTTCTGTTGATTAATCTTCTCTTCCTCTCTCTCTCTCTCTCTCCAAGATCTGCCGTTTCCGCTCTTGTTATTCTCTTTCTTGCTTATTTTCTTTTCGACTTCTTCCTTTGTTACTTTCTTTTGCTTTTTCACCTGTGCCTTTACTTTGTTTTTGCTCTCTTTCTTGCTAATCATTTCATCTGTCTTTCTCCTTATTAGGGCTTTGACACCTTAATCTCATTACCTATTGTTCCCTCTACCTTTCCTTTCCTCAACCTTACTTATTTTCTTTAGTATCTTAAAATTTGTCTTCTTGTTTTCCTTTTTCTTTCTCTTCTTCGATTCTTCTTCTTTTCCATTTTTGCTCCTGCATCCAACACGTACTTCTTCTCGCTTATGTAGTTGCTAGTACTTTTGTTTTGTGTATGTGTGTGTATGTGTATGTTTGTGTGTGTATGTGTGTGTGTTTTGTGTGTATGTTGCGTATGTAGATGTGTCTGCGAGTCTTGCGTCTCTGTCTTCTGTTTCCTTCTGTCCTTAGGGTCTTGAAATTTCGTCTTCTTGTTTTTCTTTTTCTTTCTCCTCTTCGTTTCTTCTTCTTTTCCATTTTAGCTCCATCATCCATGCTATCTTTTCTTTGCTTCCTATTATTATTTTTTCCCATTTTTCCCCATCCTTTTTACTTTTTTCACATTTTTCTACAATGTACTTCCGATTTTCTTCCTCTTTTATACACATTCTGCATATCTTATTTTCTTCTTTTTCCCGATACCTGCTTCCTCTCGGTTCATTACCTAACCTAAACCTTTCCTTTATTTGTTGGCCTTTTATTCCTCCCTCTCCTTGAATTTCCATTAATCTGTACTTTTTCATTTCTTCTTTCAGTTCTTTCTACTCGTTTATATATCTTGACTTTTCTAGCTTTTCTTCTAGTTCTTTTTCTTCTTTTTGCTTTAGCTCTTCTCATATTTCTTCCCAAAACTCTTCTTTCATTTCGTCTCCCTCCTCCCTCTCTCTATATATTTTACTTTTTTCTAGCCTTTCCTTTCTCTCCTCCTTCTTACCCTTTTTATCTTTTTTATTTTTTCCCTTTTCTTTAATTCTCTCTATGCTTCTTATTTTATTGAGCCATCTCTTTCTTCTCTTATTTTGTTTTCATTGCTCTTTCTATTGGTGTTTCTTTCATTTCTTGTCTTCCTGTTCCCCATCGCATTAAGTAACTTGGCGTGTTTCTATCTAATCCCAATACCCACTTTATGTATTTTAGTTGTAATCTCTCTATTTCTTCATATCTCTTCCATACCCAGATTTCTGCTCCATACATAACCACGCTTTTCGCCAGTGCGTAGAACAGGTATCTTACCTCATACCCCCTACTCCTTACCTTAGCTACCAATTTTCTCTAAATAGTTTTTCTCCTAGCCCCCATAGTCTTCCGAGTCCCATATTTATTTTCCCTTCTAACTTCTTTATCTGCTTTTTATTTCCATTATTTCTGCTTATAACATATCCCAAGTTATTGAACTCTTTAACCACCTCTATCTTCTCACCTTCCCATTAGAATTCTTCTTCCTTTCACCTTTCTCCTCCTTTTCTGACTTTTATCACCTTTGATTTTCCTACAGTTAGCTCTAATTCCCTTTCTTCCAGGTACCTTTTTAATTTTTTCAGCATTGCTTTCATTCCACTTTCACTCTGTGCCATCATGACTATATCATCTGCATATCCTAATGTCCATATTTTCTTCCTTCCTATCACTACCCATCCTTCTTGTACCTGTTTGATCATGACTTCCAGGTCGGCGAAGGCAAGATTAAATAGCATGATGCTTAAGGGCACCCTTGCCTTACGCCTTTGTAAGGCTCGAACTCCCCAATTCTTTCTCCTCCAACTTTTACCTTACTCTCTGTTTTCTTATATATTTCTTCTATTTTTTTCCTAATTTTTCTATTTATCACTTTCCCTTTCATGAATTCCCATGTTTTCTTCCTTTTTATCTTGTCAAAAGCGGTCTTCACGTCGGCAAAGAATACACACAGTTTTCCTCCTTTGTTCCTTATTTCCTTCCCTATTATTGTTTTTAATACATATAATGCGTCCATTGTTCCTCTTTTCTTCCTGAATCCCATCTGCGTATAGCTTAGCGTTTCTTTAGCTTCTACATCTCTTTTCAGCTTTTTCCTCAGTATTTCCGCATATATTTTATATCCCGTGTCCATCAGCGTTATTCCTCTATAATTTTCTACTTCTTCTTTCCTCCCTTTCTTATATATTGGTACTATTATTCCCTTCCTCCATTCTTCCGGAAATCTTTCTCCGTTCCATATTCCGTTTAACATTTTGTCATATCTTTTAACAAGCCTCCCGTGCCTTCCATCCACGCCTTATTCGCTATACCATCTTCTCCTGTCGCCTTTTTCTTTTTCATTTTTCTTATTACCTCTTTTATTTCTCTTACTTTGATCTCTTCGCCTTCCTCTCCTTCGCTGTCTTCGGTTTCTTCCCCTTTGCTTTCTTCCTTTTCTTTCTTTTCCAGTTATCCCTTGAACTGCTTTAACCATTCTTCTTTTCCAATATTTTCATCGAATCCAATTCTTTTCTTCCTATTGCTATTCACTTTATCCCAGAATTTTCTTCTAGTCTTATCTTTTCTTATTTCTTCTGCCACTCATTTCCCCTCAGCTTCTTTCGCTTTTTTTATTTCCTCTCTGTATTCTCTCTTTGGTTTTAAGTATTTGCCTCTGTCTCCTTCCCCTTTTCTTACCTTATTTAACTCTGCTATCACCCTAGCCCTTTTTATCCTACATTCTTCTCTTCACCAGATTTTTTTCGATCCTTTTTTTTTTCTTATCTTTTTTTTACGACTGCGTTCCTCACTTTATTTTTTATCTCCTTCCATTTTTCTGTCCCCTTTATTACGTCTATCCATCTCTGATACTCTCTTATACCTTCTTCGCTCCAGTCATCTATCATTCTTTCTTCCTCTTCTTTTCTTTCTTCTACTATTTTATCTCCCAATTCCACATCTACAGGTAAGTGGTCCGACTTTACCCACTCTTTTATTTAAACCCTTATTATTGCTTCACCACCTTCCTCGTTACCTACTACATAGTCTATCGTTGATATTCCTCTCGCTCCTATATATGTTATTTCCATC